GACGTGATCTTGTCTATTCGGTCGAATATTATTCAATAACAAATGCTGGGCCTCAAGATAGGTGATGGTGTTGCTAATAGTGCGTTCAGTAGGGCGATTATGTTGACCATACAGAACATGAATTTTCATAATAAAGTTGAACGATTTGTAAAAGTACTTCAAGAGTAAGTCTTTCCATGATGAAATGCCGAACAATACTGTGCTCTTTCAAAAAACAGGCTTTTGAAAGAAGTAATTTTACTTGGATCACCCGTTACTATAAGAAACAAATGCGCGCTGGGTACGGCCACCAAAGCGCAGCTCATAAATTTAATACCACTAAGCAACAAAGGCGGCGGCAACAGTCAGTCCAAAATGACCGCAGAGCAGAGCAGAGCAAGGCCGTGGAATCGCTGGGTATAGTATTATATAAAAACGTTGGCTTGATTTGTGTAGCTCGAACAGAGCATCACTCACATCATTCAGTTGGCTAGGATACATACCTAAATTCATTTTGGTGTATAGTCTTTGAGGTAAAAGGTAAATATCTATTTTTGTCTGGACGATGTGTGTTACTTCGGAATACTTCTTACAGCACCAGCCTTTAGTTTTGTATTTTCAAAAAATGTATAATCACTCAGCTTGCTTTTTACCGAGGTTATTGCTCTCAGTTTTTGTTTCGTCTTTATATAGGTGCACCATTTTGTTTTATGGTTGAAACAGATGTTGACCTTGAGTGGCGGTGATAATTTCAATGATTTCCACATCAGCAGAGTTTATATGTCATGCTTAAATTTATTATGTAAGTTAAGGGTTAACAAAGAATGCAAAAAATTCCATTCCTTACCTCAAAATACCTCTAGGAACGTGTACGCATATATGTATATATGCGTAAATATCGGTAAAACCCAAAGCTTCATTACTACACGCTGCACCCTATGGCTGTTAGCAAGAAAAAGAAAGCACTACGCGCACACACACACAGCTCGAAGTTCTAGCGGTGCTTTTATGTTCTCTGTGCTTGTGGCTATGTGCGGAGTTGAGCGCTCTCTCCATTATATATATGTATGACATGATAAGAAAAGCAGTCGTGACATAAATCGCGGTACACCTTTTCAAGTCATAGACTCTCCGCAGAAAAAAAAAGAACACGCTTCTTGAGGGCATACTTGCGTGTGTGAGGAATAAATGGGGTATTCGGCAGTGTCAAACTGTTGTCAACTATGTCTGAAAATATTATCTAACTGAATGCTGATTTGTATGGCAAAGCCGAAAGGAAGTGAGAAATGACAAAGTTCGGTGTCAACTTAAAAGTAGAGTAAATCAGTGAATATACTAGAATTTTTATAATTTTACTGACATTGGTGCTTAGAGAAAGAGCACTATTCAAACTTATCCGGATTATGGACCTGAAAACTCGACTGTATACTAACTTCGCTTATTGGACAAATACTTAAGCGGATATTTGGGAGTTACATGGCAAGCGTTGAAGCAGTCAATGATCTGGAAGCTGGTATTCCAAATAATTGATTTTCCATCACCACAAAGAACATCAGACTCCCCAACGCTGAAAACTATTTTTGGCGAAAACAATTTGTCATACAAGTGTTATCAAGAAAATAGATTAGAAGAGAGGATGCCAGACCAATGATTTGCGTACATAAAATTTTCAAGAGTTTCTTTCACATATATATCTTTTGAATATATCCATATATATAGTATATTTACATATATTATATAACGTTTTAACAGCGAAAGCTAAGTGTGTCCTCACAGTTTAATTGCCTCGCGGACACTCAAGCGCCCACATCGAGCAGGACTTTGGCGCAGACGATTTACTGCCACATCGTGCGCTCCAATCAGCCATTAAGTGTAAAAAATAAGATATAAAGCGAAATGTTTGTTTAATTTACTACAATGTTGTCGCAGTAAATTAGGTTATAAATACGACTTGCAATTTCCATGCAAAAAAAAAAAAAAAGTGAGATATAACAAAGACGAAAGCGTCTAGGGGGCGTTCGAATGTGTCTGGAAGCTACGGAGCTTGCCAAGTCGAATGAAGCATGGCGAAGTACGCAGCGCAAAGGCGTTGACGTTGCAGCACATAGTATGCTCTTCGATTTTTAGTCATATTCCGTAGCTATTTGGGCGGAAAGTAATAAGTCGTAAATTTTCCACTGTCATTTTTTGCAACGATCGATTCGACAACGTTTTGGTGGGCCGCAGCTCTTGGCTCTTGGCATGGCCAGCGGCAGAGGACCAGTGTGCGGTTGGCAAATGAAAATGATGAGTAGATACTATATTCGTGCTAATAATGTGACTGAAATTTCTCTTTTATGCACGAGTAAGTGCACTCTTACAAACAGACATTGTTTGGCTTGGCCAAAAGCATTCTTCTGCAGACTCATAACCACTTTGGCATGAATTATATGGYAATTTTTTATCGCAGAAATTATTTTTAGCACAAAGACCTGCTGAACGTTATTTGTTGTCAGCGSCTTTGGCCGGTTCTTGGGGAAATTATTTAGGAAGCTTGGTGGAGAATGTTTGCAGGAATTAGTGGAGATTGCTTAAGAAYTTCGAACTTAGCAAATGCAAACAAAAAATCTGATTATACCTTACTTCTTTGGTGAAGATTGTGTAGATATTTATTGGAACGTTTTCAGTATTCCTGTTATGTTATATTTGGTGCTGTGAAACGTAGCGTTTCATTGGCATGATTTGTGTCACATGCCTGATGCTGACACCGTTCCCCCAAACAATCGGTGGACGAAGCAGCAACAGTTTGCCTTTAAACAGCATTGTCACCGTTTTTTCCATTAATATGTCCACCCTCATACTTAAACCGCAAGTATTTACAATATCTTAGAGATGTTCTACTGCCAGCTCTAGGTCAGTTCGCGAGCGACCTTCACCCGGAAGAAGAGGTCGTCTACTAAGGACCACAGAGGAACCCTGCGGTCAGCTACGAACCACTCCAACAGACTCCGTGAAGTGGGTCGCCTTAAAAGTCTGAAGGTGGTACATTCCGAAATCCTCTCGCAAATCGGTTACATCTCTGTTAACGTGGACSATTGCGCAGCGGAGCCTAGCTTGACAGAGAAGAGGCGCAGCGCGTTTTATCACGGTTACATCGTAGCTCAAGGTAAARGTTGGAGGAGAAGTCTTATGTCGGGTGCTCTCAATCAACTCTTGTTTGAAACTGCCRGACCATTTTAGTGTTTTTTAAGCAGAAGTGGCAGCTCTCGTCAATGAGTGCATGACCTCACTAGTTGTGGCTTTAAGCTACTTTTATACTAAACTTGCCTTGGTGTCTGGCCACAGCGAAACCGTCAGAAACTGCAAAGCCTATGAGCTCGCTATCGAGGGCACTACACACCATTAGGATGTAAAGGAATATCTATTATCCTGTCTTCAATGCGAGCTCGGTAAGCGATGTTCAGCAACCAGCCCATATAGGGCAGCGAAATCATGACATGACATATAAAAGGTACATAAAACTACCGGCTGTTAGCCGGCTTCACGCAATGAGACTAAAGGTTTTAGAGGACGAAACTTGAAAAACATGAGGTGGAAAATATCTACACATTGTTTCGTTCACTTCCCAGCTTTTGTCGTCGTTGAAACATCTTCGTTGTCATACTTTCTACGACCTCGCCGAATTGGTTGTAGTAAACACTAAGCTTCTTCACAAAACTGTAGGAAGATTATTGGAATACTAATTGGTCACTGTCTGGTGGCGACAAACGCAAGCAGAATGTAGCTGCCAGATCAAGAAGACTGCAGGAATATCTAGAGCAGGACTCCAGGGAAACAAAAGAGTATCTCTTGTGCAATTGTTTGGCAAGGCTACGCTGTAAGCATCTGGAGTCCCTACGGTATGATATACTGGAAGAGGTATCGATAGTGAGGCCATAGTTTCTGTTGAAATTCGTCAAGACCAGATATCTTTTCACATTCCTTGTAACTGAACTCGATCTGGTATCGTAAGAGACCAAAACTGCTCTATCCGTGGCTCATTGGCCTGCTAGATTAATCTAACCTTACATAGCAGTCTATATTAAACAAAGTATGAGTTCTGTTTTGCTTACCAGCTTATCGAAATTTCCCATATTTTGTCTATCGGCCACTAAATACATATAAAGAAACAAAAGTAGATGTGACTTGCATGTTGGCAGAAGCTAAGTTGAATGTCATTTAATGGCGACAATAAATATTTTATTGCCACTTTTAGAGTTATTGCCAATATTTGGACAATATGTTAGCTGTGATATTGAGACATAACTTCAATGCATAGGCGAGGAATATTTGGGGCATTGCGGAGCGGGGTACATAAATGTTTGGTAGAAATTGCGAAAGGATAATTAAAGAGGTGATATTAAAAAGCGAACTATTTATCTCATATTTTAAAATAATAAAGTTGTCTAACAGTATTCATATGATAGCTTATAGTAATAACCTAGCTTACACTCGCAACTAAAGTAGTAGCTCAATGCCTAAAATAGAAGATGCGTAAGAAAAAATCGAAGGCGAATTGTCCGATTTAAGAGTACTTCTAATAAAGCATTGCTGCACTGAAGCTTACATAACGGATACACATCATTGAATATTTACAACTCTTTATATATTCCGATATTAGCAACCGATAAATTCGCTCTCCCAAAATACATTTCAACCAACCATAATATACAATATCTAAAGTAGTTTGAGGAATTATTTATGAAATTACAGCCGAACGCGTTTAAACTTTTTGGTATGAGAGATAAGTCTTGTTGTCTGAGACCATTTACATATTTATACGTGTATATTATCCACGTGTGCTCATAAATATGCAACAGATTTCATTGAAAACCTTGATTTCGGCCTTCACACCTCACACAGTATCTTAAGAACCAATGAGACGCATTGAACTGACATATGCTAATTAATAGGAGAGCAAGCTAACTCATCTCTTTTTGCGAATTTACTTCTATAAAAACAAAGCCAAAGCTGTGAATTTCATCAGTTACTTTCCACAGCTTCACTAGTACGCTTTACTACAAAAGCAGCATTTTAGGTTTTGACACTTATTCGAGAACACACCACCGCCATTATGATACCGAAGAACTTCCTGAAAATCTGCTCCGTGCTGATTGTTATGGCAGTGTTATTGCCACACGGTCAAAGCCAACGCACCGTCTGTGGACCGGCCTTGGACGCTGTGCTCAGCACTATTTGCGTCCATGGCTTCAACTCAAAATTCAAGAAATCCGGTGAGTAAACCGCTGAAGATTGCAGCACTGACCAATTATTTCACCTTCCTTCGAAAATTAAAACTTCTTTATTTGAAAATCAGTGGAGTGGGATGATCTGGGAAACAATGAAGTGGACTACGAGCTGCCCTTCCCCTATGCCAACTCGCCATTCTTAGCTAAGATTCACGGCGCCCAATTTGACACATTAGCCAAGACTCGTCGCCACCGAGACACGATCCTAACCGGTGTTTATGATGAATGTTGCAGCAAGGCCTGCAGCTACAATGAGATTCTTTCCTATTGCAACACATTTTAAAACTAAAATGCTTAGTATAGTATTCAGCCCACTACACTTACTCGCTTTTAATTAAGTACTTGTAATGCCGATGCTTACTAAAATCACTATAAATAATCAAAAACTCGAATAAAAGGACATGAGGTATAATGTGATTGGCTTATTTTAAGTATAAACGGTTTTCGGATATATGTATATTAACGAGTGCTAAGAGCCTTGTTCGAACAAAAGCTTGAAATTGATATTTAAACAAATGCAGCAAACTATTGGACATGCCAAAGAAACGTTTTCAAAAATAAACACATGTTGACATTTGAACTAAAGTATCTTCCATGTTTAGAAGCTCTGAGTAATTTTTTTTATTTTCATATTCCAGTTCTTAAAGTTAGAGATTTGCTTGTGATGAAATAATTATTATTTTTTTTTKTTTTAGTTACTGACTTTGTATTATTGGTGTAATGCGACCACAGTTACTGAAAACCTTGACAATGACCTACGACCAACGCAGCTCTGATGAATTTTAAAGCGCGCATAAACGTAGTTAATTGGTAATGGATCGCATATTCCCAAACTGTTGCCCAGCTGCCTGTTTTAGGGCCACGAGTATATATACCGGGCCCCGGAAAGTAATAGGATTGATTTTCTTCCGCCGCGAGGAAAATTCGATTGCATTCGATAGAGAGCGTTCCTAACTAACGAACAAGTGGCTGGCCAGTTTTCTCCGAGCACCTCGAGAGTCTGTGACTAGTGCAAGCCGAAAATGTAGCGTTCGTTAGAGCATAGGTACGCGCTTAAATTCTGTGTGAAACTCGGTAAATCTGCGACAGAACCGTTTGAAATGATCATTCTTACCCAGATGTTGCTTTAGCCAGAAGTGGTGCGTTTTGGTGGCAACAGGTCTTTTTGAAGTGCCGAGAAGAGGTCGCTGCTAAAGACCGGAAAAATGAGCACATCCAAAATGAAAACGATGCTCATTATCTTTTTTTGTCAACGACAACTTTTACGTGGAAGTCCTCAAGAGGCTCAAACGAAGGGTCAATCGGGTCCGACAAGACATCGCAGCCGATAGGAAGTTGCATCACGACAAAACTTCGGATCAATAAGATGTGTCATCTCATCATAAAAAGATATACCATCCAACAAAGAAGCGAAGTTATTAAAATTTACTACCGAAATTTGGAATCCCGTGCCAGAGGGACAAAGAAGATCGCGGAAATCGCCTTCATGTGTCTCATAACTTATAAGGAAGCATTTGACTTTCTGCTCTCTTTCTATGTTATCGTGAATGGCAGCAGCTGGAACGTGGACAGCAACATCACCTTAACTTTTATTATTACTTTGTGGTGTCCAGTTTATTATTCGCGCGAATGCACTTTTAATGAAATCTATACAGACTGGCTTTTAACGATGCAGAAATTCGGGAAATTACCCAAACTGTAACGGCTAGTACTGCAACGGCTAGCAATTACACACCTTGGCCACTTAAAGCCGGAAAATCTAAACACACAGCACACCTGCCTCCTCACCGCGTCGTCCGGCGTGGTGTGATTGTTGTCGCCTTGTCCGAGCATTTGCCAAGCGCGTGTAGCAGTGCGTTCCTCTGCCGGTGTATGTGTGAACGCAGTCGCGCATGTATTTGTGTGTGTGTGTGTGTACGGCCGTTCCGTCGCGCGAAAATTTTTCTTTACTCACAAAAGGTACACAATTTGGCATTTTTAATGCCGCCGCATGCTGTTGTGTCGTTTCGCTTTGCGCTGTGTTGTTGTTGGCGTTGTTTTTGGGACATTTTATGCGTATTTTTTACAGGACATTTAATATACCTGCTTAGGTCATAAATTATGCAGAGAAAAAGTGCAGTAAATGAGACCCCATAAATTTGGCTAAATTGTTTATGGCTATATTTGTGTTGCTGTTGTTGTTGTTGCTGAGCACACAATACTGTTGGCGCGCTGTTTTTTCGCATTTCGCATTTGATATACTGCATTGCCAAGCGTTATGTCTGTATGTGTATGTGTGGGTTAGTGTGCGAGTGTGAGCATAAAAGCTTTTAAAGTGGCCTGTAAGATTATAAATACAAACAAACTTGCATTTATATAAATTGTGCACACACACACCCGCACATGTGTAGGGTTCTCTAACACAACATGGCTTTGTTTTATTGTTGTAGGCCACATTAACCATGCATGAATAAAAATTGAGATATTTTTATGATGTGCACTTTGTTTTAAGTGTATGCGTGAGCATTTGCACATATTCAAATTTATACGAAAATTGCTGCAAACGCGTCTGCATGTGTGCGAGTGTATGTGGTGTGTGTGCCAACAAATATTTGCACACCGAATTGTACTGGCAATAGCTTAACATACAACAACAACTGCACAGCCAAACGGTTGAGGTGGACACAAGCAGCGTGTGGGGGGCGAGTCCTGGGCGAGCATTTCTCACACCACAATCGTGTTTGTATGTGCGTGTGTGTGTGAACTTCTGATTTATGCGACACCCGCTTAATTTCAATCGCTCCTTCTGCTTTTCTCTGTTCTTCACAAATTTCTCGTTCGAGTACTTACATATGTATGTATGTATGAAGAACGTGTGTCCTGTCTGCATGCATCGGTGACAGTCGCTTTGTGGTGGGTGTGGCGGGTGAGGCGTATGCGAGAACACGTTTACACGCTTTCATGGCTGTGCGTTAAAAATTGGAATTGGCCGCCTGCCAACGAATTTTTGGCATTAAATAAAATTTATCTCTCATGTCTTCGGGGTTAAGTGTTAACGGCTTGTTGTTGCTCAGCGTTAAAAATTATGATTTTATTGTATTTAGTTGAAGAACTGCATATGTGCAATAATGCATAGACACATTTGAGCAAAGTTCGGACCACATTTGTTTTTATTCTAGATTTGGTCTTGTCTACTCTTACTCTGCTGTTTCAGTCGTCAGTGGACATGTTGAGATAAGGTTGAACTCGCCTTAAACTTTGCAAATTTTAATGACTATAGTATTGGAAAAATTATGAAAAATAGTAAATTGAAATATACGAGTCAGCTTTTGGAACATAATGAGGCCTTACGCAGCCCCCGGGTGTCAACACAACTTATTTGGATTAAAGAGATGCCTGGCATTTGCCAAGAATTGCAAGTGAATAACCCCGCTCGAAATCTAATCCTACAGTTTGGGCTCTTTGAGACTCTTTGCGACTTTCTTATTTCTTATAGCGGGTGATCCGAGTTCAGGTACTTTTTTAAATAGTCTGTTTTTCACAGAACACGTGAACACGTGAGTCGTGTCAATCGTTCAACTTGGCCAACATAATCGGTCTACTGAGCCTACTATTCGCGACAGCATCACCCATCTTGAACATTCGACCGAACAGACCACATCCAGCACGCAGTGGAAATGTAGCAGCTTTAGACGAAAGTGCACACTAGGACACGAGGACGAGGACCACTCAACCTTCCCAAGTGACCTGGTTATGTGCTATGGCATTTCCAAGAAAATCCGACATTTTTGAGGTAAATGTTTTTCTGAAAAGGGGCCAATTTCTAGCTCAGTGGGTATGTGTAGGAAAATTGCCGTATTTGGGATGAAGAGACTCAAGAGCTGTCATTTCATTCAGAAAAAATAACGGTTCGATGTGTCCATATTTCTTCAAAAATGTTGCCGATGAGAACGTAAGTGTCAATCGGAAGCCTTGACTACCGGCTATTTGATGCCTGATGTTTGATTTCAAGGAGACGTCATCACTTCCCACATATCGCATCAATCAACGGATTTATTGACAGAAGACTTCGATGAGCAGATAATTTCATGTTTTGAGCCGTTTTATTGGCCACCAAGATCGTGTGATATCCCACTTTTACACTTTTCCTTTGGACATATGTAAAATCTAAAGTCTATACGGACCATCCCGCTTCGACTCAGACCTTGGAACATCATGGTTGTCAATCGCCAGTTACCAGTCGACGGATGGTCCAACTGAGACATAGCCGCGGCCAACATTTAAAAGAGATATTTATCAAAATATAAATACCACACAAAGGTCTTTGGAATAATAATAGATAATACTTTTTAAGTTTGAAGTTTCTGTGTTTTTATACTCTCGGAACAAAATTGCTAAAGAGGGTACTATAGTTTTGTTCACATAACGGTTGTTTGTAAGTAATAAAACTAAAAGAGTTAGATATAGGGTTATGTATACCAAAGTGATCAGGGTGACGAGTAGAGTTGAAATCCGGATGTCTGTCTGTCCGTTCGTCTGTCCGTCCGTCCGTGCAAGCTGTAGCTTGAGTAAAAATTGAGATATCTTGATGAGACTTGTTACGCGAGAGTATAAAATGTTCGGTGACACCCGAACTTAGCCCTTCCTTACTTGTTTTCTCTAAAAAAAGTAAAGAACCTCGAAATACACAACGCTTTATGTACAAAATGGTTAAAATAAGTGTGTATTAAGCAAAATTTTACAAATACTTGCAGTATGTATATATGTATATTGTATTCTTTCAATAAAGACAAATCAGAAATTGCACACACTTCGTTAAACTATGTTGTAAACAGTTCTCAACTTCGAATGAAAGGCATATAAAAGGGTTTTAGGGTTTATTTTGCAGAATGTGGCAACTAGTTATCTTATGTGCCACTTACACATATACAACAAACATCAACGAATGAAGGAGGAACCAAGGGTTTTACCGAATTTCTAAAGTTTCGCACTAAGAAATTTTAAACAGGTTATTATCAGCGCTGTCATGAAGCCGAATTGGCATCATCTGATAGTTCATCCGAGTGCAATGCACCAGTCACGACCCTACCGCTATAGACACCAGCGAGCATATGCATGTATGTGTGTGCCAGTGCATACCCAAGCGACACTTCCACGGCAGAGTGACACTTTGCCACGCGCTCAAACGAGCTCAACTTCCAAGAAGCAGTGGCAGGTGTGTATTTGACTTCAGGAACTGTGAGTATACACTTTATGTTAACCAACTCCTAGCCTCAACGGCAACAATAGTAGCTACACTTGTCGCTACGAGTTCCGCGTTCATGTGTATGTCTCACCGCCCTCGTTTTGCTCAACACAGGTAAGTGCACGTGCGCGAGTTTAATTGCAAAACACAAGGCTGGCAAATATTTGACAATTAACTCAAGTCCCAGCGCCGGAGACCACGAGCGCAAATATTATGGGTTAGAAGCGTTTTGTTGCTTTTCAACCTAGCCTTTCGACGCTTACGGTACATATTTAGTGCAGATATGAAAGCAGGAATACATAAGCGCAAATGAGCGCCCATTTCCCTCAAACGTCTGCAAATACGGTAGTCGTAAA